TGAGCAGTATGGGCTAAAGAACATGGAAAGTGACGTGGTTAGTGGGATTATGGGTTTAATCAAAGAGCCGAATATTTCCCTAATTAAATACCAGATTAAAGACTAAATATCCTTAATATTTGGTTAAATTATATGTTATATATTATACAATATTAAAATTTATAAATTAGTCTCTAAAATTACACCTAAATTCATAATGGTCCAAAATTTAATAGATATTTAGCTGGGCGGGCGGATGCGAGGCTGGTAATGTCTCAAACCCATTACCCGCCCACCACCCACGACGGGTACCACTTTATAAATCCACACCCGCCTACTATCCGCTAAAATTATACCCATCCCCGCTCCAATTGGAGCGGATGCGGTGCGAAATCCACGAAATTGTACCCGTTTGTCGTCCCTAAGTTAAACTTTGATTTTAAATTCTAAATATTTGAATGAAAATTTATAAAATTATTAATTGTTAAACTCTCTAAGTTTAAAGAAAAATACATTTAACATATAATTAATATAATTAGTATATCAAACTTATATTTTTAAATAATTTTTATAAATACAATATTTATTTATATAAAATATAGTATAATATGAAAAATAATATTGTGGTCTCAAGTGAATAGATATATAATTTTTCAATGTATAAGATATATTTTTTAATAACTTAAAATTAGATATTGTTTTAAATAAATACATTTTTTACAATAATAACATTTTCACCTCATAAAATTATAAAATATTAATATACTAAATATTAAAAATATAAATAATTTTAACTACTCAATTTTATTAATATTTTATTAAATTAAACTCTTTATATATTATTATTAAGTTTATAATTTTGAGTAAAGCATGAAGAATAAAAATTGAGTGACAAATATGAAAATAATTTATTATTTTAGGGGTATTTGTGTCTAAAGTGGTGGGAATTATTCATTGTCTTAGAATTTGGAGGTAATGACACTCCCACAATTTTAACAAAAAATATACTATTACTGATAATAAATTATTACTTAGTAATGATCTTTTTCGCAAACAAAATGAAAGACCAGATGATAAAGAATTAAGAAAGAAGGCTACGGGAAAGATCCCAGAACAGGCTTGCTCATGATAGATTCACTTGAATAAGAAGTTGAATAGTAACCTAACTATTGGATTTGTTTTTCGCTACCCACATTCTATCTTCCTTACTTTTTATATCGTCTAAGCTTGCAGGATTTTCTTCATCCGTTGAATTGAATTTAGCTAGTTTAATTATGTAAATTGTACAACTATTCCGGTTGTAATCTAAAAAATTATGATTAAGATATTCTCAGTTAGAATTACCGTTATAATCAATTGTGTAACTTTTTCTACTAGTCAATTAATATTTTAGGTTAAAACCTACAGCAACGCAACATTATTAGTTTTAATTGAAACTATAAACAATTATACAACAATTTAGGTTAAACAAAACAATATTTTAAGTTAAAATTTATCATAAATTAATTTTAAATTAGACTGTCATATAATAAAATTATTGATAATTTAGGATAAGTTAGAGATGTTAAAAAACTTTCAATTCACCCATCATTCAATTGAAAAGATTTGAATATATTTTTAGAAAAATAAAATTATATATTGAATATATCATTTATTAAATAGTACTTCTTTCATTCTATTAAATTTTATATTTTAAAATTATCTCATTCAAAACGTCATATTAGAAAAGTTATTTTTTTATCCATATTTGTCACATTCTTTTACAATTATTAAAATAAATCTCTCGAATCTATCAATTATTTTTGGGATAATTTTATCATTTTCCTTATTTTGTATAATTTTGTATAACTTAATATGTGGTCAAACTTATTTCTTAAAATTATATGTTTAGTCAAAAAGGGATAAAAAATAATGAAATCAATGGAGTATTAATATACAAATTAAGTTTAAATTATTATTAAAAAATTTTAAATATTCAATTTATTCGGTCAAATTATATATTTAATTTTATGTAAAAACGTAAGATTTAATTTCGTAACAATTAAAATGATCATTGATAAAACAAATAATGTTTTAAATATTACATTTGAAGAGTCATTTCTATAAAGAAAGACTTCAAAAGTGATGTTAGATCAATAAAAAATAACATAAATAAATTATAATTTTTTAGTGTATTTTTTCGCATTTTATATAATTTGACATGTGATCAAATTTATCTCCTAAACCCATGTGATTGGTTAACATTAGACAAAATTAGTGAGATGGAAAGAATAATAGATTTTTCATTTCAAATTCGTAATTCATTTCGACTTAACATTTTAAATTTCTAATTTCTTAACTTACTACACCCTAATACTATAAATTATTAATTTCTTAAATTATTTGACCTCACATTCTAAATTATCTCTCAAATTATTTCTTTTAACCTTCAAACATTTTAAACTGAGTTGTATTTTTTTATTTTGTTAAATTTTATCTTTAAATTTCTAAATTGTACGTGTGACTTATATATTGTGAACTTTTAAATTATATATGTTTATGTGATTTTTTAAAATAATATAATTAAAAAAAACAAAATAATTATGAATCAGATATATGTGATCCAAAAATACAAATGTCTAAATTTTATGGATATGTAATTTAAATAGGTCAAGACATACACTGACATTTTGTTATCCGAAAATCTCAAATACCCAATTATCCAATTATAAACACTTCTATATCCTACAACCTGATATGATTATTTCGAATACTTGATTTATTAGTATTCGATATTGAGACCCTCACTACTTTTTTAAGTACCTAAAACAACAATACTCACTTCTTCGGATACGACCTGTCCTAATACATAAATGATATGGATATTGTCACGTTAGCTTATTTTTAATATTTTTTTAAAATTTAATAATAATTTTATGAATATTTTAATAATTATAAGATTTAATTATAAGATAAAATGACCTCTTAGGCCAATAAATTCTATAGATGAGAAGAAACAATAACTTGCACTTGACCCAATGATCCAATTTTATTACTCGCGAATAGGGATACACAAAGTTGTATTTAAATCTGATCCGGATCGGATAAAAATCCAATCTGGTTTTTTCATCTAGCTAAAAAAAACCGGATTTAAAAAAACGGTTCGGATCTTAACCGGTTTGGAGGGCCGGATGGTGTAACCGGTTTCGGTTTGAAAAAAAATCGGTTTTTAAAAAAAATCGATTTTTAATCCGGTAAAAAAACCGGTCGTCCAATTTTTTTCCAAACCGATTATACTATCCGGTTTTAAAATATCCGATCCGGTTTCAGATATTTTTAACGTAAAATCGGATATTCATATTTTTTGTGCACCTCTACTGGCGAACCAGCTTAAAACTAACTCGGTTCAACCAAATATGACAATTTTATTCAAATGAATCTGTCTAATACGATTAAAATGACCCCTATTTAATTTTTTATTTATTAGATTAATTTAAGAAAGATAATTGCTATTATCCATAGTAATCTATTTTTTAATAAAATTATCCTTAGTTATATAAAAACTTAGTGTTTGATTTAACAATGAATATATATATTAATTTAATTTGAAGGTTCGAACTTAATGTTAATAATGTAATCATGGATAAATCGAGGGGCGAATGAGGGTAGTCGTCTTGTTGGAAATTTAAAATTATCATATATTTCTTATTTTCTATTGAAAATCTATTTTCGCCTCTTAGAATTTAATAAGTTAGTCACCTTCTAAAATTTTAGAAATTTATTTTTCCTAATATAAAATTACGTGTCCATCTATAAACGTAACACATGAAATTATATGAAAAAAATACATATTAATAAATGTCAACATTATATAAGTTAGAAAAAAATTAATTGCACAATAAAATCTACTTTAGATCTGACTTTGAAACTAAACAACTAACTGAGATTAATTAAGAATCAGTGTGCTGATATGGTAAATGAAACTTATAGTGACTGCAAAAGTATTTAGGATAAACTACATATTTAGTATCTAAATTATTATTTTTATTCTATTTTGTTTCAAAATCATATCTAACATTTAGTTTGGGTTTCGTTTTGGTACCTGTTATTAAAAACATAACAGTGACGACGACGTGTAACTATAAGATAATATAACGTCATTTTTAAAAAAATAAAAAATGTCACATAAATAGTTCTATTAATCTTTTAACGGTGGATACTAAACTGAAACCTAAATTAAATGTAAGGTATAATTTAAAAAAAAAATAAAGTTTGAATACTAATACAAAACAAAAGTAATAGTTTAGATACTAAAAGTGTAGTTTACTCAAGTATTTAATCAATTAACCCAAAACTGAGGTGCATTGTAAGATTTTTGTGTCTAGAAGCAGTGGATGACTTCCCTGGTGGTGATCCGTTGTCGTTTAAGTATATAGTAGATTACTACTAAGAGAGGTGGAAGAAACAAAGAAACTGAACTTCTTGTAGGAGCCGAATGCTATATTTGCATTTTTTTTTATGTTATTTTTACTTTTTTAAAATCATAAATAATATTATGTTTTAGTTTTGTTTTGGTCATTCATTGTTAAAGAAATCGACAATGATATTATCGTAACGTTTTTTAATTAATTTTTAATACTGTCGTGATATTACCTTATGATAACAAATCAACATTACTATTAATTTCTTAACAGCAGAGGATCAAAGGAAAACCAAAATGTAAAGGTATGATTTAAAAAAAAAATAATAGTTGAGTGACTAAAATAGAAACTAAGTAATAGGTGAATGATTAAATAAGTAGTTTATCCTTTTTTAAAGATGAATGAGTGATTTTAATATACTATACTGCCGTTATTAAAAGAGAGAAAAAAGTTACAAAAATCAGATTGAATGATAAAACAGAAGAAAAAATATGGCTATCATGAAACTTCACATGAACAATGCAGGTATCTTTCATTGCTTTTCATCAAAGAATTCGAGTTTCATATGATTAACATTTGATCAATCGGGGATAAAGAGTGAAAAGAATCTTTTAAAGAAATAATTAAAAAAAAACAATTCAGCTTTGGGTCAATTGTATAAATAAATGTTTGAATAAGTTGAAAAAAAGGAAAAAAAACTTTAACCTTGCTTAGTAAAAACAATCCACCAAAGTGGGGGCTGGGAAGACAAGAACGGATTGCTGTTGTTGCTTGGAACCAAAGGCGAATTCGGATTCCCGGTCATCGTCTTCCGGGGCGGGAAGATTGAGATCCAAGCTTAAAGACAAAACATTTCTTGGTTTCTGAGGTTTATCAGATTCCATTGTCAAAGGCAAGGGGGTGTTAGTTGTAATAACATTAAGATTACTACTAGTACCTATTGACCCTCTATGCCTTCTCATATGCCCTCCCAAGGCTTGTCCAGAGGTAAACTCAGCCCCACAAAAGGAACATTCATGAACCTTAACCTTATTATTAGGACCTCCTTCTTCATATGCTGATTTGAATGGCCTTGTGCTTTTGTCATCAACCATGGACACTCCTGCCTTGGGCTTCTTATGGCTAGCCCTATGACCACCAAGAGCTTGGAACAAAGGGAATGTTCTATTACATGTTTTGCACTCGTAAACAATGTACCCGGCCTTGCCTGTCCCATTTGAACCACTCTCCAACAACTTCCTACTAGTAAATTTCTCGGATTCTCTGGATCGGCCTTGCGCCAGGAGGATCAAACAATTGGCCATATCTTCTTCTTCCTCGGTGGTTATTTCTTGATATTCGGATGAAGATGACGAAGAAGGTGACAAATATTGACCATAATTCTTCATCTCCACATCCGGACTCCCTTCATCCCCACCTCGATCATCTTCATTGTAAACAGAATAGTTACATGCTACGATGAAAGGGATCGGCGATAGAGGCCTAGAACGCTTCGTTCGCTTCCCTTTTACGATATCTTTCGACCTCATTGCAACATCCATAGCCCTTCCCAGCACCAACAAGAAAGAAATTGAAATACAAAGAGTTTAATATGAATATATAGCTTATGAAATGATATAAAGGAGAAGAGTAAAATAGTAAGGAGAAGATGTTAAGCTTAAAAGATTTTTTTTGGGGGTATTGGATAGTCAATCAAAGTATAAAATTATATATATAAGGTTGAATTGGAGAAGACAAAGGGAAAAAGGGGGAAACGGACCAAAATTGTAACTGAAAAGGGGAAAAAAATTAGAGAGTAAAACAGTTGGGGAGGTTGTTAACGTAAAGTCCGTTTCACACTCTCTTTCTCACACTTTGCCAACGCACTTCACGATATGCAAATCAACAACAACAATATATTCATATTAAAAAAATACTTAATATAAAAATAAGTGATCAAACTATACTTATTTTCTCACTTAGGTGACTAACTTTTTTTTTTTGTCAATTTAAGTGTCTAACGTTTCTAATGTTATAATTTACGTGCCTACATTGTAACGGCCTTTAAAAATAAATCAACTAGGGGTGTTCATTTTTTGGTTTTAACCGAATTAACCAACCGAATCGAATTAGTTCGGTTAATTCGGTCGGCCACCGAATTAGTTCGGTCGGGAAACGGTTAATAATTTTTTTAGAATTCAATTCGAAATCGGTTAATTAGCCGAATTAACCGAAATTAAATATTAAATATTAAATATATTATATATAACATATGGGCTAAGCCCAAACTATTTAAAACCCAATTAATAATTTAGTATCGAATAACTTTTAAACCTAAATCAATATTAATTAATTAAAAAATTCATATAAAATTTAAATTTATAATTATATATTATTTAAATTAATTGTAATTTTTTTTTGAATTAAAAATATTCATTTTTTATATAATTTAGAAAATTTAAAAAAAATCAGTTAATTTGAAAATTAACCGAAATTTATTCGGTTCGGTTAAGTTTTCAAAAAAAAATTGGTTCGGTTAATTGTTAAAGAAAAAAAGTTTGGTTAATGGTAATTCGATTCGGTCGACCACCGTTTTAACCGAATGAACACCCCTAAAATCAACAAAAAAGTGTTTCACACGTTGCTTATTTTTTTTATTTCCTTTAAAAAAATTTAAAAATCATAAATTTTCAAAAAAAAAACCCTAATTTTTCCTATTTTTCATAAAATGTCCCAAGACTTTTGATTATGAAGCTGACCACCACCACCGTTAGCGACCATTGACTCACACGCTGGCCACCAGCCCGCCGACCACTCATCCACCGATTGGGATGAATGGATGTTGGAATTTAGGGGGTTTAGGGTTTGGATTTAAGGTTTTGATTTTGGGATTTTGGGGTTTGAAGTCACGATTGATGGCAGTTGGTGGGAGTGGCAGCGGCGAGAGACGGTCGATGGGTGGGGTGGATACTTTGGGATTAAGGATTTTGGGACTTTTTTGATATTTTAGAAATATTTTGGGAATTTTTTTGAAAAATAATAATAATTTTAAGATTTTTAAAAAATAAATTTTTAAAATTTTACAAAGGCGTCACGTGTCACATTCTAAGTGGTTGACGGAATTTTTTTAATGTTTGTTACGGTCGAGGCACCTAAATGGTAATATTGGAAATGTTAAAAACCTAAATTGACCAAAAAAAGTTTAAGGACCTAAATGAGAAAATAGATATAGTTTAGGCACCAATTTTGTTATTAAGCCTAAAAAAATAACAAGGGAAAACGAGGACAATTATTTTCCCCACATCCGATGCTTGGTTGCACGATATAAGCATGCTTTCTTTAAGTTTTGTTGTGTCAATTGCACTCGTATTCCTTTCATTTTAATGTCTCATCATATCACAATTACTAGTTTATTACTAGGGTAAAGTACACGTTTAGACTTAAACTATTACTTTTGTTTCGTTTCAACACTCAAACTTTATTTTTTTTCCAAAATCATACCAAATGTTTAGTTTAGATTTCATTTTGGTACCCTATCACTAAAAACTTACCAGTGATGTTGACGTATCACAATAAGATAATATCACGTTATCATTGAAAACTAAAAAAATGTCACGTTAGTATTTCTGTTAATTTTTTTAACGATGGGGGTACCAAATTGAAACCTAAACTAAACGTTAGATATGATTTTAAAAAAAATAAAGTTTAGGTACTAAAATAGAATAAAAGTAATAGTTTAGGTACTAAATTTGTAGTTCACTCTTATTATTTTTATTATTGATAAGGTAAACTATTAAAAAGATCACTTAATTATTGGGTTGGTGCCAATATGATCACCATACTTCTAATTTTGACGATATGACCACATATCTATTTAAGTGGTTTCAATATAGTCACATATCGTTACAAAACAAATGACATAACTGATGTGGTTGTTATTTACTAACGATCAAAGGTCCACATCAACTAAGCCATTTATTTTACAATGATAAATGACTATGTTAAAAGCACTTAAATAGTTACGTAATTATATTGTCAAAATTGAAAATATAGTTATAATATCAACAAAAACCACAGAGTTAAATGGTCATTTATAGAAATGAATATTTACTACATTTTAAGATACTAAAATTATCACAATAGTTTTACTAGATATTAAGATACTACAAATATTATAACAGTTTTTTTGGGGAGGGTTTAGTTTCAGCATTCCTTTTATATTGATAAGAGCACTATAAATCAGAGTTAAGCGTCGTGAGAAACTATCCACAAACGCAAAATCACGTATCCAAATTCAATCTAAGGCTCCAGAACAAGAAAGATCAATAGAATTACAAATAAGCTTTATATTGATCAGTCGGGCGTCATCAAATCCAACCCTGTAAAGATATAAAATAAAAAAAAACAGTCAAACTATTGAGAAAGAATAATATAAACGTGTCACGAAGGCAAAGAAAAATATATCACAAAAGTAAAATTATTCTTAAAAAATAAATTAAAATATCGACGATCGACAACCAATATCAATACCTTGTCGGCGTCGACTAAATAAAATTAAAAAAATTGATTTGATCTCCAGATAACGGCACAACCCCTAAAGAAAAAAAAGCATAATAATAATTTTTTAAATATCATATATTTGTGTAATCCTTTCACTAATATCTTCACCCAATGCACTGTTAATTTTATAACAGGTAACCAAAATGAAATCAAAACTAAACATTGAGTATAATTTTTTTAAAAATAGTTATATGACTAAAATAGAATTAATGTGACAGTCGAGATACTAAACATGTAGTTTGCTTAATCTTTTATATTATATAAGGTAAAGTACACAAATGATCCCTCAACTATAAGGCACTACTTTGTTAAATCCATCTACTATTAAAAATTTAAAAATGATCATAGACTATAAGACATTACATTTTTTAGTCTCTTGACTATTAAAAGTTACAAAATTATCCAACTATTCATATATTCCAAACTCGTCCTTTTCAATTAAAAATTTATGGTCGTCTGACCTTAACGTTAACATGTTGACTGTGATACGACAAAATTTGATCTCAAAACTGTTTGAGCTGTATAGTTATTTGAGATTCTAGGATTAGAATTTTTTTATATTTTAATAAGTAGATTAACATTCAACTTAGATTGCTATCAATTTTTTAACATAAAAAAATTAGTTTGAAACATAAAAATAGTTAGATGACTAATTCATAACTTTTAATATTCAAAAACTCAACAAAGCATCACCTATAGTCGAGAGATCATTTTGTAACTTTTAATAGTTGAAGACTTAATAAAACAACACTCTATAATCGGGACCATTTGTGTACTTTGACCTATTATATTGTATATGATTCTCATAATTAATCCCTACCCTAATTTTAAACAAGAATTGTTGAAGTAACAGTGTCAGCAAAACTCTCAAACATAATACCGAAACAAAAATCGAAATGTTCTTTCAACACAGCTTTCAGTCTCTTTTGAAGTTAATCTGTTACTGTTCTCTCCACTTTGATGCCCTTGACCTACCTCAACCTGGTAATGTTCTTTTTAAACCATGTATCCCTTTGTCTCTATTTTCTCTTGATTCTTCTTGTTAATGGTTACTTCTCTTTATGATATTGTTTTTGGCAATAACAGAATCAAGGTGTACTATTGGTTTTGATTTTGAAATGACAAAAAAGACACCCATTTTTTGTCTAAAAAGCTTGATTTGAGTGTGTAATTTTCCCACACAGGACATTGATTTTGTGCATTAGCAAGTCAAGGAGGGGACAATTGAAATGGGGATTTTTGGTTTTTGAGGACAAAAGAAAATAAGTTTGGTTGAAAGGATTGATTATTTATTGAAGCATTTAATTGGGTTTTGGGTGCTGCAACCTCGGCGCCTCTTTGTTTTTGTGCCCTAATTCCCGCCATTCACTGATTTTTTGTTTGTAATGGAAGGAGGGTTAAGTGGAAACACAGTTCTACCAAATTCAAATGATAAACTGAAAGTTTTGAATGTAAAACCGCTACGTATGTTGGTTCCTCAATTCCCGGACTCCTCTGAGGGTCCTCCTTTTGTTTGTGTTCCTCCTAATGGTCCTTTCCCTTCCGGGTTGTCGCCATTTTCCCATTTAGTGTACCACAAGAGTCCCAATCTACACCCGACCTTAGCCGGAATGGCATCAATTCCACTGCCATGCCGATTAGGGCCTTCAGGACAGAAAATTTGTCTCCAATGGACACACGGCAGTCACACAAAAAAATCAGCTGGATCAAGTTCTGTTAAGAAGAAGAAAAAGAAAGGAAAAGGTTCAAAGCTATCTTCCACTGCTGCCAGTAATTTCGATCCTGGAATTAGTTTATCTGATCGAGATTATGGTAATAGGAAACTGGTTGAAAATGTTCTTTTGAGGTTTGACGCTCTTAGGAGAAAGCTTAGCCAGATGGAAGATACAATGCAATTGCCTTCTGGTATTATTAGGCGTGCGGATTTGAAAGCTGGCAACACGATGATGAGCAACGGGGTGCGGACCAACATGAAAAGAGAATTGGGGCTGTCCCTGGTGTT